CAAAAATGGCCAGTTCACACGATGGGACTTGTCCCCGCGACTCGTTGCAGGGACTAGCTAGTCCCCTCGTGTGTGCCGACCTTTATTACTACTCTTCAATATCTACTCCTCTTCACTTCAGTTCAAAACTGGCGCCAATATCCTTGTTTGACGTCACTAGCCCCGATCTCCGTTACCCTCAGTCGTGTGCTAAATAATTAATAAATTCATGAAAAATCGCGGTTTTGACCAAAAACAAAACTTTTTGCAACATTTTTCTCCATACAATACAAAGATTTAATCCCGCTAAAAATTATATTTTGAAGTTATAGGTATTTTAACGTCTTCCATCAGTTTAAAAACGGGTGGCTACCCCTACATTTTATGTTCTGAAATGGAAGTGGCAAGCCTATTCAACAAGTGATTAGTTTCTGTTTGTGAGGAAAGGCTATTTAGACTGTACTTTGGCTAAACCAGAGGAAGGCTGTCGCTAAAAGCGCTGCTGCGACGATTTTCTAATTAAAAGCATACCAAAAGTGGTTTTTATGTTACCATTTGCCATGTAGTTTAAAGATCTTTATAAATATGTTTGCATTTCTGTGTGTAAAGGCGAATTCTATGGAAATCTGTGAAGAAATATCTTTCCCTTCTTTTACAGAAAAATAGACGTCAGCATTCAGGGCTAATTATCTCAGAAAAATGCGTGTCTACCACTAGTTTTCTTTGTGGATTCCAATAACCCTTGATAAGATCTACTTTTTCCATTTAGTCTAAATTTGGCGAAAAGACCTTTGCATTGAGAAAGACACCGTCCTTAAGGGTGTTTTAAGTGTGTTGCTATGGTAACCTATTGCGTCACGAAACGTATTGCAACGTGTTTATCAATGTTTAGGCAGTTTTTTGCTACCATGATTGTAGCATCAACTGATAACGAATGGTTATAATGGCCCATCAAAATCTAATACTTGGAAAGTGATGGAAACTGTTTTGAACCACCTTAAGTCCGAGGTTGTCACGTCAGGATATTTCTAAGCCTCCATCTGAGTTTCACCGTCCACTGACCTGTAAAGTACAAAGGCCTCGGTGTTCAGTGGAAACCATCACTCTTTTAATATTGAGTTTAACAAAGTAAACTCTCCATTTTGAACTTCACTGGGAAAAGTGAAAGCGTTATGAGCATTTTACACAACTTGGACTACGGGTAGTTGGGTTTTGTTCCGGAAATCCTGGACACGTGGGACTGAGTTAAGAATATGCAAATTTAATAGGGAAAGAAACGAGGAGAGAATACCCGCGCCCCTCATCACTCACTCACTCGTCGCACCCTAGGAAACGAAACTTGTTCAACGCCAAGAATAATAACAACTTGTTTAAGAACTCTTGCCACAAGCGGAGTACCATACTCATGGGAACCCGTGTATCGCTTCTCTCATCGTCATTTTGGCAAGCGGTATTGCTCGTGGGCGCGTACGCACGACGACGACGACGGCGACGTCGCGCAACGTGGCAGCCATGCCTCAGCTAATAGGTTGACCGAGCTTTGGCATGGATTATAGCGAACTTCCTTGATATTGGACATCCATGTCATGGTCAATTGAAACCTGTAATATCAAGGTATCCGCTGACCTGTATCACGAGACCATATTGCGGGTTTATCATCGTTATTAATCGGGAACTCAGTGAGATCACGTGTTTTTTTAAGTGGACCGCTGTCCAAAATACTGGCTTTTGATTAGGTGGCGGCCTCAAGGTTAAGTATAAATATTTCTTGGATATAAATGTTTTTCACTGCTTATGTTCTGTGTAGTTTGAGGTTATTCAAACTCAGAAAGCTAAACAATATAAACAGAAAACCTCAACGAAAGGTTAAAAAACTGAAATCAAAATTCTCGCTTATCCTGGGTTAGCTTAATCACACTTTGAAGAACCCGGCCCAGGAACTCCGCTTTTAGGCTTGACTAAATCTTTATATTATGAGTGGCCGTTCTGTGTGGGTAGCTACAACAATGGCGAGCCCAATTTTGGAGGATTTCAAGCTGCACATGCAAAATCCATATTATGTGTAGGGGTTAACAGTGCGTTCACCTAAAAAGCGAATATTCATAAGATCAACTTTATAAGCACACTGTAGCTTTTTTAAAATAATTCACGCCTAAAAATGTTACAGACTTTCCAGTAAAACCGTGAACAC